CTTCCAATAAAACTATTTTATAGCTAGGTAATATCTACAATTAAAATCATAAATAATATTCAACGTTAAACTGCTACACAATTAAAAACATTTTATTTAGGCCTATCTATGGCCTTCAAAAAGTTGACGACTCTACATGTTTCGACGTTACAACTTTTTGAAGGCCATAGATAGGCCTAAATAAAATGTTTTTAATTGCGTACCAGCTTAACGTTGAATATTATTCATGATTTTAACGTTATTTCTCTCTAAAGTACTTTTATTAAAAGTAACTGTAGCGTTAATTTCATTAAGTGAAATTTGTGGATATAATTATTTACACACAAAACCAAAATCACAACCTGCTTTATCAATTGGGGTAATAACAAATTATTTTTGAATATATTTTATTTTTAAAGACATTGAAAGAAATATCTAATTTATATCGAGATAAGTTTAAGGTTCTTAATCGATTCTTTATGGAATTAATAAAATACAATTTCCATTCAAAAAAAGAAACATGGCGGATAATAGGATTATTTACTTATTTTAAGAATATAGTTATCATTATTTTTCTCTAAGTCTTTTAAGATTTCACATTTTTGTGCTTTTTTAAAATTCTATATTTAGTACCTTTCTTTAATATTGATTGTAATTTTTTTATCTTCCACAACTTCTAAATTTCCTGTGAGTATATGATTATGAAAGATATCTTTAAAAACACTATTATTGCAGTTACAAGGTAAGTTGTCAACTTCTTTTAAATTTGATTCTTCAATGAATTTTTTATAGTTAGTAAACCTGTTTATATTATACTCAATAAAATTATATATTTTTTAATTTAATGAAATAAGATTGCCAGAAAATTTTGATCGTGTTTTTTATATTATTCTAAATAATAGACTAGTTTTGAAATGTTTAACTACTTTAAATTATTTTGAATCGGCTATTTTTTTCGTACGTATGATTTTACTATATTAAATTGGTTTGAAAACTTTATAACAGCATTTAATAGTTTAATTGATAAATTATTAGATGTTAATATAGTTATTTCTAACTACAATTTCACTAAATATAGACGTAAAAATATACTTAAATTTTGTACCTGTAATAACTATATTTTGAAATAATGAACAAGTGCTTAAACAGGGAATTGGTATTCCTATGGAGTTCAGTTTCTTCGAATATAGCTAATTTGTACGTTTAATTTTGTGAAAAACATTTTTAAGCAGTTAACAAACCCAGACCATATGGTTATATTTTCCGTTATGATAAGGATTTAATTTCCACGAATAATTTAAATTTTAATTCTTCGAAAATCTATCTCGCAGCACTTAAAATAGGAAGAAACAACATTTTTATAGTGTGAACGCCTTTCCTAAGTTGACGAAGTATTATTATACTTGTCATATGACATTAGTATTAGGTTAGGTTGGATATTAATTTACCACTACATTATTTACCTAGTTCCTAATGAATGTGGTGTTAAAATATTACTAGGCCTAATACTAACGTCAAATGCAAGTATAATTAAGTAACAATACTAATTATATTGCACATTATTTAGATATATAACTTGTTTTTATAGTATACAGAGTGCAATTGGATTTATTTGTTAAAAGACGAGAATTTCGCTATTCTCGTTTAAACTGCTCAAATAGTGTGGTTACCTATATTCTATTGTCATTACCAACCAAAAAAAATTTGTAACTGTTTGTAAAAATTTTACTTTATTTTTAGATAATGTTGAATTATCAGCAAGAAAACATTTCACTTTATACTCTCAAACTGTTCTTTTCACAGGGCAAGTTTTTGGCAAGATGCAGACAACTTGTCAATCTGCTGCAAAATATTGTTATTCCGACCTTGCAATGACAAGTCAAGGTCTTTGAACTAAGCTAAAATATCAGCCAGGTAGCACGGTACTAAAAGTCATTTTTCATCCATAGACAGTCTACCAAAAAAAACCCAAAACACGAAATTCGGCTTTCAGCTGCACAATGTGACTGAATATCTTCCCACGAAACAGCCAGCACATCCCTGTACTTGTGTTAGCAGAGATTACATCCATACGCCTCGCAACAGTGTCAAGGAATAGACTTGAGGGCCTCACCATACCTAACACAATGTCTCCTATACTGTGTGGCTTCATACTTTTTGATATCAAATAAGATACTTCTGAAGAAGCTTTTGGTGGAAAAGTAGCCTGCTTTTCAGTTGTTTCAGTTGTTGCTTGAAGAATTCGTTGGTTTTGCCCACATGCTCAGAGTGTTTGGTTTCCAAATGTCTTGTAAGTTTATTTATCTTCATGTTGTCAGTAACTAAAATCAGCGATTAAATAACGCACAGCGATTGTTCATCGTTAATAACACAATTTAAATAATCCTCCTAGTACTAAAACACTTTTAAGTTTCGGTTTACCGACAAAAACCGAGGAAGTGTCTGGTCCAGCCACAGGGCCATCAAATTCGTTTTTCTTCATTATCACCACCATTTAACGACTATCTCTATTTGTTTACTTCGGAACCGTCACACGAAGAAACATGAGATCTTTTTTTTTTTGTCGATATGTAACACCCACTTATCCAAGGTTTTGAAAACTAGTAAATGTATATTAACGTTCAAAAGTTGAAATTAAAAAGCTGACAAATGTGTTCAAAAAGTCATCATACCTCGGCCATCCACTCAACAGTTTCTCTGCGTTACACAATTTGCGCAAAACGCCCTCACTAACAGTCGAAGCGTGCTAAAACAGCAGACAGCTGGAATGGTATACATTCAGGCTTTCAAAACTTAAATTGCTTCCGCTAAAATCAAAGCCCTTCATAGGATATGAGAAATAAATATGTTTATAAAATTTATGATACTTAACTATAAATAAAAAATTCATCAACATAATTCGAGTTTTCTTTGATATTTCTTAAATTAAATAATAATGAAAAAGACGTGTTTAATTAAACCAGAATCACATCTTGCTCAAGAAACAATATCCTATAAGTGGAGCCACTGTACTTTGTCTTGTGATAACAAGAAGGAGGAAAATGAGGGTTTACTTTCTGCTGTTAGAATTAGGCTGTTTAAGTTTTTAAATTAATTAATATTGTGTACAGTTGAAATAAAAGTATATAACGAAATCCAAAAAATGGTAAACTTTTACCTCTGCTTTTGAATATTTTAACTGTAGAGGGTAAAAATATTTATACGAGAAACTTCAAAATAGTGTTTATAATTTTAATAATTTATCTTAAATTAAAAGTTAAAATATTTATGTGCTCAATTATGAATAACTAAACTAGGGATACAGTGATTAACAACGATAATTAGTTAATACCAGCAGGTAGTTTAAACTGTTAAAGTGAATACTATTAGAAGAAATAGATCAACCAATGACAATAGCTTGTAGGTTGTAATAAATGTACAAAAAACTATTATGTATATGTAATTTATTCTGTTTCTATTATTTTGAACGTTGTAGTCTTATAAGTTATATGAAATACTGTTAGTGTTAGCCTAATATTAATAGTAATACCTAACATTTTATCAAACATTGCTTAATATGTATTCTTTCTTACATTGCACAATATTCAAATTCAATGCTAAAATTCATGATCTGTGTATCCCACATTTACATTGGTCATTTAATTCTGTAATTTCTGCATTTTTATTCTTGTAACCTAACACAAAACTGGCTTATTAATTATATAGTTTTAAATCCCTATGAATCACTCCATCTGATGAGCTCAGCACAGATAACCCTTGGTGTAACTTTGTGCTTGACAAGAAACAAATAAGTATTCTGTGTTAATTACATGAATCTACATGTACACTAGTGTGTTTATACAGATAAGCTAATAATAGGACTTGCTAAAAGTTGTAATCATGTGTTTATGTACATTAAACATAATGGTTTAAGCAGTAAAAGATAGTTAACACTGATAAAAATTACATAAACTACAGTAACAGATGTTTTTTTTTTGTTTGTGAAAAATTTCTGCATTTTGTGATTTGTTTTTATTAAAAAAGTTCTGTTTGTTACATTAAGACATATATTGAATTATTCTTTCTAATATTGAGTGCTATTTTAAATATACTCTAGAAAAGAAAATACAGAAAATCCTTAAATGTAATGGGAACCAACATAATCATGAATTAAATTTCTGTGGACCATTAACTGCACAAAAATGCAAGCACAGTGTTTTCCAAGGTTATGATTTTAATTAAATTTACTAACCGTGCAACTTTTTAAAGAAATGTACCACTCGTTTTCATTGATAAGTAAAATTTTAAGCCGAGATCATTAGTTGTGAGCTATCGTTTAATGCTACAGTTAAGAATAAATAAATAAAGAATAGAACATGAATTTTGGTTTTGACAACTTCTGTTTCAGTCGTACGAGGAGGAAGACTACCCTCGGGGAGATTATATCGTTGGTTCTTTTCCCAAGGATTTTGGTTATGGTCCAGATGATCAAGATGGTGAGATTGAAGTTGCCAACACAACACAAAAACCCAGGATTCTTCTGATGGGACTTAGAAGGTTCATCCATCAGTCATAGTATATATAAAAAAAACTTGGCTTACCCCACAGCATGTCTTATCTCTCATCTGAAATATTCAATTCATTCTTTACTTTTGAGTTAAACAGTGTTTTGCTCAAAAAAATAAGGAAAAAATTATGATAAAATTACAAAACCTAATATTTTCTAGTCAGTAGAGGTCACATTAAATCAACTAAAAAAACACACACACACAATTATTTTCCCTAGTTTTTATCTGTACCATAAGCTACATTTTTCATTTAATGTGTTTGTTACTTATACTTGAGAAGCAGAAAATTCAAAATTTACTAATTTAAAGTTCTGAGATGTAGATATTAAAATTCCTGTATTTCATTTAACTTGTAACCTGGTGGTTGGGGCACTCGACTCATGACCTGCAGGTCATGGAATCGAAATCTGTTCATAACATGCTTGATCTTTCAGCCATGGGGGCATCATAAAGTCATGGTCAATCCCACTAATTGTAGGTAAAGATTAGCTCAAGAGTTGGCTGTGGGTTGTGTTCTCTAGCTGCCTTCACTCTAGTCTATCATTTTGAAATGAAGGACAGTGAGCACAGATATCCCTCGAGTAGGTTTACACGTCATTCAACAAATGTCATTTGTGTAACAGTTGTCTCTATACAGGTACCAAGTTTTAATTCCAACTTGTGATGAGATAGTGTAAGGGTGGTGTAACTAACTGTATTACCAACTAAACTGGCATGTTCACTAAATATATTAAAATTATGTTACTTATTTCCAACATGTATCTCTCGTTCCCCTCCTTTGATATTCTAGATTTTACTACCGAATGTTACAGCAACTGGAAGAATAAATGTTTCAAAGAGATAACTATCATTTTATTCAATTGATATTCTCAGTTTTACAAAGTACATTTACTGTAGAATTGTGTGCATTGTTTTTGTCTCTTTATTCTAAAAACGACATTGATGTATTAAAAAGAAGGCAGTGAGTGGTTGCTGTATTAGTAGTCGAAGTAACAGAACTTCACAACAATGAGCCTGCCTGAACCTAAGATCTGGTGGCAGAAACTACCAATGACATATGAGGAAGTCCATGCTTAGAATAATACTTTGAATTTCCTTGTATCTTGGGGCAAATAAAGTGTAGAAAGTTTTTATTTCCTTCATAATTTTCCTCGTAATAGAAACAAAATTATTTTTACAAACTGATTTAGTATAAAAATTTTAGTTGAATAAATGGTATAGTAATTACTTACAATGTTACCTGTAAATGAAACAAAAAGTAGAAAAACCTTGGTTTTTTATTATATCATTGATCAAAAAGTAATGTTTTATTTATGGAATAAAGTATTGAATCATTATTTGACGAAGGGGTGTCAGTGTCACTGGTTTCGGACATTAGTGACCTTTGCCCTCTGTTGTCGTGCTCAGTGGGACTAAAAGCCATGTTTAAGTATGAAAACTTGTTCCAAGACAAATCACGAGTATAACTGATGCTGTGTGTTACAACTTACAGTATCTTACTTCACAACTAACACTGTACATCAGACAGCTAATTTAAAGCAAGCATGGAAAAACATATTTCATTTATATCGTATGTCACCAGTAAATGCACTAAGAGTCTTGGTGTATGTCACACAATGGGTGACTTAATGTTTATTTTATATTGAGCCTATCTCGGTTGTTCTGTTTATTAGTATTCTTTAAGATTTAAAAGTTTGTATTTTTATACATGGTACATGCGACTTTACAGGAGCGGGAAGTCGTCAATCCAGAAGGTAGTCTTCCACAAGATGTCTCCAAATGAAACATTGTTTTTAGAAAGCACAAACAAAATTATCAAAGATGGTAAGTTTTGGGTCTTAGTTTTGTGTTGATCTAGAAGAATATTCTTTTAATTAATACAAACTACGTTTTGGTAATAAGAGTTAGTCATCATAGTTAAGCCTAATGTCAATTAGTGCAATTTTATTGTGCAGAAGAAAAGAAATATGACATGTTTGATTTTAATAAAGTCATTAAAGAATCATCATTACAGTCAAAGAGCAACAGTATATTATTGATAGATGGAGATCGTGGCTTGATAGTTAAACGACATCACTGTGTCCTGTGAATAGTTAAAAAAGTAGCTTGCAAACATGACTTTAATAAAGTCATTAAAGAATCATCATTACAGTTGAAGAGCAACAGTATATTATTGATAGATGGAGATCGTGGCTTGATAGTTAAACGACATCATTTGTCCTGTAAATAGCTAAAAAGTAGCTTGCAAACATGACTTTAATAAAGTCATTAAAGAATCATCATTACAGTCGAAGAGCAACAGTATATTATTGATAGATGAAGATCGTGGCTTGATAGTTAAACGACATCACTTTGTCCTGTAAATAGCTAAAAAGTAGCTTGCATTGCTCACTTTTAAGGATCGTTGAACATATAAGTGTTTGAAATGGGATAAGACTTGGGAAGATTTTGTGATTTAGCTGAAATTGCTGATATGTGCAGTAGCTGCGATGACATTGAAAGATTTTGTGAGTATCGAACTTCTATATTATTCCAGATATTTCCAATAGTTCATTTGTCCAGTTTCAAATTTGGGATTTCCCTGGACAGATTGATTTTTTTGACCCAACGTTTGACTCTGAGGTTATATTTGGTGGCTGTGGAGCTTTAGTTTTTGTAATAGATGCTCAGGTAAGTAGATTAAGTATTATTTTTGTTTTTTTTACAATACTCGTTAACATTTAATTAATTAATATCTTTTATTATTTTCTTCACGAAACTACTACTTACACGTGTACGTGTCAAATAATGTAGTGTGTTATTAACTACCTCTGGTGATTTTGTTTAGTATTTTTTAGTAACTAACATCAGGTTTGCTACTTTGTAATCAGCCTAAAACAAACCTAACTCACAAATAAATCTCCTAAATCTAGTACGTAGTTAACAACTTAAAAAAACTAACATATTAGATCAAGCTCATAGACGCCACTAGCTTAGTTTATTAGGCATACTCAAATAATTTAAAAATACTATGAAAGAATTGGAAATATTGTTTTTTATTACAATTAAATATAAATAATGTTGGTTTATTAGAGAATCATAATCATTTCACAAAAACAACTTAATCAGTGGTTCTTACTGTTTGTTCCTTGAGTTTGGTTTAACATTACAAACATTGGTCTCTCAGATCATTTCTTTTCTAGCATATCAACCTGCAATTACTACAGAGATGGGTTAGTAGGAAGTTGGATAAGTTATTTCAACCATTATTAAACACTTGTTGTAAGGAAGGGTTAGTAGGAAGTTGGATAAGTTATTTCAACCATTATTAAACACTTGTTGTAAGGAAGGGTTAGTAGGAAGTTGGATAAGTTATTTCAACCATTATTAAACTT